ATGCACATTCACCTTGATGGACCTATCTCAAAATCTCATTTAGAAGGCATTTCCTCCATTTAGAACCTCATTTAGAAGGTATAGATTGCAACCTCAATGTAGTAGAGTGGTTTGTGCTACCAATAACTTTAAGAGCAATGCAATTTGGAGTTTTGTACTCCTGGTAGCAGTCACCCTTGGCAGCATGGCTGAGAGCAAGGTTTGCAGATTTAAAGCAATTAAAAAATGCATGGTCATCATGGGTGATGTCAGCCTTCCTGACATCTCATGGGAAGAGCATATGGCCAGATCTGCTCAGTCACAGATCTGATTTGCTTCCTTGCTTGCATTGATGACCTAATGCAAGAGGTCTATGGGCTGACTGGAGGAGAGGCACTGCTGGATCTGATTCTGGCCAAGGGAGATGACCTGGTGAGCAATCTGAGGATCAAGAGGAAGCTTGGTGACAGTGACCATGAACTGATCACTTTTTCTGTCCAACACAGGGCAGTAAATCTCTCAATAAAAGAGAAATCCTCAACTTTGGCAAGGCTGACTTTCACAAACCCAAGAGACTGGTCAGTCAGACACTAAGAGACCGTGGTCCCCTTAGAAAGGGGAGCCCACATGGAATGATTGTTCCTTAAGAACATAATCCTCAAAGCACAAGGAAAATCCATTCCATCCCACAGGAAATTCAGTCAGCAGGCTGGGAAACCCCCTTGGCTCAAAAGGGAACTTTTAGACCTCCTGAAACTAAGAAGAGCAGCCTACGCCAGACGGAAAATGGGAATCATCACCAAAGAGGACTACAGGACACTAGCCCTCACCTGTAGAGAGCAGACCAGAAAAGCCAAGGCAGAAACTGAACTCAAGCTACCAACAGGAATCAAGGACAACAAAAAGTTCTTCTTCAGATATGTGGGAAGTCAGAGAAAGAACAAAGGCAACATTGGACCGCTGCTAAATCCAATGGGGCAGCTGACATCTGATGCTCAGGAAAAGGCCAATCTCCTAAATGATTATTTTGCATTGGTTTTCCACCTGCCCAAGAGTGTACCTTGTTGGACAGGATACAAAGCATCCAGTGGGCAGGAGATGGGCTCACAATTGATGGAGATCAAGACAGGAAACACCTCAAGAGGCTCAGGATCCATAAGTCCACAGGCCTGGACAGAATGCACCTGAGAGTTATGAAGGAGCTGGCAGGCATCATAGCACTGTTTGTGGCAAAGATATTTGAGAACGCTTGGTGCTTGGGAAAGGTACCAGAAGAATGGAAAAGACCCATTGTGGTCCCAATCTTCAAGAAAGGAAAGAAGGAAGATCCAGGAAATTACAGGCCAATCAGTCTGACATCCATCCCTGGAAAGATCCTGGAGAAAATCATCAAGGGTTCCATCAGCAACAGGCTAATGAAAGGCAACTTCCTGTGTGCCAGCCATAATGGCTTTGTTGCTGGAAGGTCTGGCTTGTCCAACCTCATCTCCTTCTATGACCAGGTGATGCATTGCCTGCACAAGGGAGATGAGGTTGATGTCATATATCTGGATTTCAAGAAAGCCTTTGACTTGGTTTCCCATGATGCTATCATGATTAAGCCAGGGGACTGCAGCTTTGATCATCCTATGGTCTGATGGCTGGCTCTGGGGTTGGACCCAAAGAGTATTAGTTGATGGAAGTGAATCAACATGGCACAAGGAGACCAGTAGTATCCCTCAGGGCTCAGTACTCGCATCAGTACTTTTCAATATCTTCATTAATGATCTGGATTTGGGCATCAGATGAGGATTGCTAAAGTTTTCAGATGACACTAAACTATGGGGAAAGGGGGTCACACTGGAGGATAGGCTGGGGATACAGGCTGACTGGGACATAATTACAAGGTGGGTGGACCAAAACCTGATAGTGTTCAATGTAGAGAAGTGCAGGATGCTCTACCTTGGGAGGAAAAACCAGCATCATACTTATAGGCTGGGCAGTGCTATGCTCGCTAGCACCATGACTGAAAGAGACTTGGGGGTCCTGATTGACCACAATATGATGCTATCGCTGGCAAAGCAAACCAAACCCTGGCATGCATCCACTGGTGTATTTCAAGCCAAACCAAAGATGTTATCCTCCCAATCTACTTAGCCTTAGTGAGGCCATGGCTGGAGTACTATGTACAGTTTTCGGCCCCCCACTTCAGGAGGCACATGGATAAGATTGAGAGGGTCCAAAGGAAAGCCACCTGCATGATCAAAGGCCAAGAGAGCAAGCCTTACAAGGAAAGGCTGAGGGACATGGGACTCTTCAGCCTGGAGAAAAGAAGGCTCAGGGAGAACTTGGTGGCAGCTTATAAGTATCTAAGGGGGGCACACCAGGATCTAGAAGAACAGTTGTTTACAAGGGGTCCCCAAGGGATAACAACATCTAATGACCACAGACTTCTGGAAGGCTGATTTAGACTGGACATAAGGAAAAATTTCTTTATAGTCTGAGTGTCCAGGGTCTGGAACAGACCCCCCCCCACCCCCGAAAGGTGGTGCAAGCACCTACTCTGGACTCTTTCAAAAAGCGTTTGGATGCTTATCTTGCTGGGATCATTTGACCCCAGCAGACTTCCTGCCTAAGGAAGGTGGGCTGGACTCTATCTCAGGAGGTCCCTTGCAGCCCCTAATGTCTATGAATCTATGAATCAACCCATCCTCAGCAATTCCTGAAGAATGTTGATCATTTCCTCTATCTGGGTGGCCATCTTTCCCCAAAAATAAATCTAGATCATGATATTTGACACAGAACAATGCTGATTTAAGGTGTCTCCAAAATTGTGTTTTTAATGATCATGACATCAGGAACCAAAACCAAGTTTCTCATCTACTAGGGGTACACCGATAAAGATTTTCTTGGCCAATACCAATGGTCAATACCAGCCATATCAGCCAATACCAATCCGATAGCTGATTTACAGGAATGCAGCCAGGCAGCTTGGAAAGCAGTGTCTGACTGGTAAGTCTGTGGTGGCCAATGGGTGTGGGGGAGGAAAGGGGCATGGGCGGGCAGATCGAGGCCCCCATAGTGAGGGAGGGAGTGGGGCAGGGGCAGGAGATGCCCAGCCAGGGCAGTGAATGAGACCCCGGGAGCAGGATGAAGCCACAGGCAGCTCACCTGGGGGTTACAGGAAGTTGGGGAGTGGGGGTAGCTCCTCACCACTGTGCACACCCCCAGGGGAGACATGGGGCATGTGCCCCCCAGATTTGTGCCTGGGGCAAGAGCAGGCTGCCTGCTGCATGCCTGGGGCCAGGGGCTGTGCCAGTCTCTTCCTAGCAGAGGGGCTAGGCCAGGGCTGAGCTTAGAGCTGGCAGAAGTGGGGTGGGTGGCAGCGGCACTGGGAGGGTGGCTACAGGCAATTTTGGGATGGCTATAACCCACCCTGTAGCCACCCCTCTAGCGCTCACTTTGCCTCCTCCCATCCCAAGTGCATTCCCAGCCCAGTGACCCCCACTCCCCCACTCCTCCGGGAAGAGGCTTGTACAGCCCCTGGCCCTGAGCCCACAACAGGCAGTCCGCCCTCACCCCATGCACAAATCTAGGAGTTGCATATGCCTCCCCAAGGAGTGCACACCATGGCAGGGAGCTGCCCCCTCTAGCCCCCATACCCCCCCCAGATGTTTCACCCACAGCTCTGTCCCACTCCTGGGGTCACATTCACCACCCTGGCTGGGCAGTGCCTGTCCTTGCCCCTGCCCCTGCCCCTGCCCCTGCCCCACTCCCTCCCACACTGTAAGGGCCTCTTTCTGCCCCCCACAGCCCTTCCCTCCCCCATGCCCCTTCCCACCCACGCACATACTGACCAGATGCTGGTCTCTACACTGCTGGGCTGCATTCCTGGCTGTATTCATGTTGAGGCTCTGCTCATGCATGAGGCATTTTATTGGTGCTGATCTGATATGCCAGCAATATATTGGTGCACCTCTATCACCTACCAGCATGCTGTAACCCTTACCCTGTTGTACAGGTATGAAATGTGGATGACAAACTGAAAACACCTGAAAGCTTTGGAACATTTCCATCAGCAATGTCTTCAGAAAAACCTTGATGTCACAGGAAGGACAGAAGAAAAAATGCCAGGGTTCTGGCTCACGGAGACACCACCAGCACTGAAGCTATGCTTATATGCCTTCAGGTCAATTGGATGGGGCATGTCATAAGGATGCCAGACAACTGGCTCTCAGAACAGGTCCTATACTCCCAACTCACTTATGTTCACTTTTCTAGAGGTTGGCAAAAGAAGAGATTCGAAGATGCCTTGAAGGCCAATCTGAAGCAATGCAATATTAACATCAGTACTTGAGACCCTAATGGTGCTGTGGTGTATGACAAGGATCAATCAAGTAAACTCACTGCACCATGGAGGCATATAGATGAAAGCTGTGACCCAACAACACCGAGATCTACTCCTTCCTCCCAGAACTATTTCACATTTTTGGAAATGAACATGCAGGATCGGCCTCTTCATGCATCTACTGTTTCACTGATGGCTTTCATATTTACTGGAAGACTTTCATTCTCCTATCAAGGAACTTCCACTGCTGCCAATTTGAATTAATAAGCTACTCAAAGCTGTCAAGATTTTTAAAACTTTTGAAAGTTTAGATTGTTCAATTAAGACAGAGGTCTGGGATTACTTCTGCTTTAGCTACTGGAGGCTTTAAATATGTACTTGTGGGTGATTAGTGCCTATACTTTATAAATAGTAAGGCCCTGACCCTGCAAATGCTTAACTTTTGCAGGATGTTAAAAAGTGTTTACTTTTAAAAAGAACTATTCTTTAAAAAGAATACGTTTCAAAACAGGCAAGGTAGGCAGAAATATATCCAATTTATAAAGAAGAAAGTCAAGGAAGTAAAGCGGTGTGACCTGAATAAAACCACATTGGCATGCTAAACTACAGCCATTTATAATTTGAGAATATTTTAAAATCTGAGAATTCATCAGTTAAAACACAGCGGTAAGATCATTTAGATGCAGTCACTTACTATTAATGGTCTCTTGTGTAGTGCTGAAATGAAGAGAAACCTTAGCACTTTTTAGCCGTATTTGTCCCCAGCGTGTTACTGCCTGCAGTTCCACGTTGTAGTTGCTGTTGGGTTGGAGTCCCTCCAGGACCACATAATTTTGGGGCTATAACAGGAGAAAGTATATATACAGAACAGTTATAGGATTTCTGCAACTTTCACTCTTATTAAAAGCAGGCCTGTTGTCTTAGGCACACTATACTATTGGAAGGAGAAAGAATCATATAAAATTCAACAAAACTGAAACTTGCTTTTTTTCTTTGATTCTTTTACTTCATGTTTCCTATTATTTGGTCTTCGTGTTGCCATGTTGTTTTTAATGTGCTAAACTTTTTGATGTCTACAGAACTTTGGCCCCCTTTGGTAAATATAGGCATCAGCTGTTTATGCCAAGACTATTTTTTTTAAGTATAACAAGAATTTGGCCAATGAAGCTGAAACTGCATATTCCCTAGCTTCCGAACAGACTGTTAGCTAAGAAACAGGAAACTTTGTCTAGAGACAGTTAGTCTGAAAACAGATAGAACACATTTTGGTATATGGACCAATATTCTTTTACTTGTTTTGTCTGTTGCAAGAAGATTAACAAGGGCACTTTTTAATCTCAGCTCTAAAAAGAATAAGAAAAAATACAATTCTCCAGTGGCATTATGCAAAAGGCACATGAACTGGATTATCATGCTCCAGTTAATAATCCATAAAGTAAAGCAGTTCCTATGATCTGGAAAATCAGAGATACCGCTTCTTAAGAGTTCTTTGTACTTCTAAAAATATGTTTCTTGCACACATACCTGAACAAAAGTTTTACTCCATGATTTTACAGATTTCCCTCGCTTTATGCTGTACATGTGTTTCTGGAAAACTTTACAGTGTAACAAATAGGGATACCTTCCAAGACCTCAACTATACTGAGCTCAAGACCCATTTATACCACTTTTACAAGATACTTTTGGTACTCGCCAACAGCAGACAGTACACACAAGCACAAGGTGGTGGTGAATGTTTCATTGGTGTGAAGAGAGGGTGGTGAAGGATCTTCAGTGTCAGACTCCACATCACTGGTAGGAAGTACAGGACCAGGGAGAGGGGTAGGAGATAAGCTATCAGGATTCTTAGAAGCCATAATGGGGATGGCTACAGAAACTCGTGTTGAAGACAATGAGCGAGGAGCACAGATCCACACAGGAGACTATATTTTGGTGTGCATCACTCCCACAATGCACTGCACAAAGCAGCTGACTGCGGACTTCCACCACTCTGATCACATAAGAATGAATTTACCTCGCATATAACAAATTTTTGGTATAAAAAGGGTCATTTCGTAAGAGTGAATTCACACATACAGAACCCGCATAAAGCAAGGGAAACCTGTATGATGGATGTCTTCTTAAGTTATCTTTACATAACATAGATTTGTATAACACTAAAGGATCCAGCTAAACACAGGATTTCTTTTCCTTCTTGATTTAAAGGACATCTTCACATCTAGGAATCAGTGGTGTTACTGAGAAGGTGTGACCAGGGCAGCAGCCCCAGATGCCACCTTTATGAGGAGGTTCAAAAATAGACAACACTGCAGCAGTAGCTGATTGTGCAGCTGCGATCAGCACCAGGGAAACCAGTGTAACCATGCATATAATGACTGCCCTGGAAACAGATCAGCCCTGTATTAGTTCTGCTGGGAATTATAAGCCATATTACATATGATATGCTAGTACAGCTCCTATTAGTATATGTAATGGTATATGTATATGCAGTGTTTATTTTTTAGGGGCTTTAGAAGGAAGCATTCTTTGGAGATAGAAAGTTTGGGGTGGGTCATTATTAAACCTTCTAAAGCTACTTATTGTCATGTAAAACACAGATGGAGATAGCTGACCTCACAGTTAATGATGCCTCCCACCAGCAATTCCAACCACATTGGGAAGGGAGTAAATGATGTTTCAGGAACATTTCACTGGAGTCCCTGATTCATTGTCAGAGTGGAAGTTAGAGTAGCAGATGGCCTACTCTTTCCCCAAAGTACAGGGGTTCAAGAGTGAGCAAGTTTGAAGCATATCCTTGCAACCACTGTACTCCACTATATATACTATGCACTATATATACTAATTCAGACTTGGGGCCCAATTCTACTGACTTTTATAGCGGTACATATTAGAGAAGAGCCTGCTTTGCAATATTTTATGGTTTTCTATTTCTATTAAAAATCTATTGTAAAAATAAAATAGAGTGTGTCTAAAACGATCAGAACAGATGTACTGGTTTAATAATAAAAAAACTGATTGTATATCACTCCAGACATTTATATTAATTTGCTTCTAAGGAAATATTTCAGCTCCGTTATACAGTAAGTTTATTTTATTATCTTGGACCTAGACCATCAGAAATTTCTCTGATTTGTGAAAGATCAGTTCCAAAGATCAAATGTTATAATAAAAGAATTGTGCTAGAGATAACATTTCTTGCTTTCTGAGTAAAACACGCATTGTATCATTTCAAGGCTTCCAGTAAAATAACACTTATTTTAGAGGACAAATGTTGTTTTCTAATGTTTACATCTACAATAGGTTCCCATTTATCTCTTATGTTGACACTTAAATATTTTTCTTTTGTTTCTACTGACTTGAAATTTTTTTTCAATATACATTTGCTCCTCTTTTTGACTTCATTGGGCATACATGGAAAAATGACAGACTTGCGGGGAAGGAAAATCATGGCTATAAATTACAAGTAATTTTATAAACTGAATTTATAAATTATACACTTTTCCATCTTTGAAAATAATAAGATCTGTTTTAGACCAAAATATATATTTAATATTTAATGTATAACTGAATAGGTGGTTTTGTGCCTCAATTTCATTTTTCCTCCTTACCCCATCAGTAATCTTCCTTCTCTTCTTTTTAGCTGGGATCACAAATTTGCTATATGTCCAGCTCCAGAAGACTTTATAGTGGTGCACTGGGATATCAGGCTCTTCTGGGAGATCCCAAGCAATCTTTACATTTACACTTCCATCACTGTTTGTAGTGATGTTTTCAATTCTGATATTAGATGGGGCTGGTGGAGCAGATGGGTCTGAAATTTAAAAAGAAAACACAACACAATACTGAGTAAATATGACCTTCCTAAGTAACTATTCTCATGATTTAACAAACGTCAGATATTATTATCAGTATTAGTTGATTTTTTTAAGCATCGTAGATGTTTAATCAAATTTGTAATTGTACTATTTCAGATACATTTGAGAATAGAAACTCTTTTCAATTGTAAATAATGGGATTGGGTCTAGGGGTGCCATTATTCTCAAAGTCTTGCTGGACATATACTATAGAAGTCAATAAAATATATTCAACTCTTGTTTTTATTTCTGGCTACAATACATTAGTAAGAGTGCACATAAAACAATTTTATTTTTAGACCATATATAAAACATATTAAAACAAATATAAAACAAAAGATATTAATCTTCTTTCAAGAAATAAAGAGTAGGAATACTGAATAATTCTGTCCAGGGTCACAAGAGAATTTCTAGGAGATAAGATTTATGAGCACTTCTATTTATGCGTCCATCTTTCCAAATGTTCATATTGGTGTCCATCACCACAGAATTTGTGCACGTCCCCAGAATAAAAACAACAAGAATATTACTGTCTTCTATCCCTGATGACTATAGGAGGCCAAATCCTGGAAAGATAGTAATACTTTATATAAACATTCTTTTGTTCTTTGTCTTTAAATCAGTCTCTAATCCCTTACATCATACAAAGTCTATTATTTAAGTTTTGCTAAACAGTATCTGGGACAAAAATCCTGCACTGGACCACTGGTACCTGTGGATTCCTATGCAACCTCCATTGACAGCTAAATATTCAGAGCATTTTTAGTATCACCAGCAGCCCACTTTATGCAAAATTCTCAGAGAGTGTTCTGTTACAGGGCTGTACAACTTCTAAGTAGCTGGGGGCTGCACCCACAGCACCATGCCATGTGGCGACCTCCCCACCCCAAATAGTGGCTGCATTACACTGTGTACTTCTTCTTCCCACTGCATCATGCTACATGGACATTCCACCTGCCCACACTGCACTGTGATCTGAACCCCATTCACAGTATTGCAGCTGTGGGTTCCCCCAACACTGTGTATTGGTGTCCCTGCTCTTCCCTGTGCCTTGGGCAGGGCAAGAAGCAGAACATGGGTGGGGGGGAACTGACAAGAGACCTCAGTGGCTGCTGCAGCAAAAGCAATAGGGGAAAGTAGCAGTGGGGTGGGAACCCGGTTAGACTAGCCTGCAAAGATTGAATCAATTCAGGCTCCGGCTTTTTAAATGTCTGTCCCTATCCTTGGGGGCCCCATGTAGCTTGTAGGCCAGTAGCTGGACAGCTTTGCTTAACCCATGGGCCAAATCTGGTCTCTGGAGCTCTCTCTGAGTCCATAGTTAGGCCTGTGGGCTGTGGCCCTGAATGCTCAGTCACATGCACAGGGAAGCTTGCAGTTCAATCCTTATGCATGGGAGTGGTGCAGAGCACCTGAGAAACAAGGAATACAACTGAAACAAGGAGCATTAGACCAGAAAGAGAAAGAGACCTCATTGCTCAGTGGTCAGGCCACTCACCTGCTATTTGAGAGACATTAGTGTCAGGTTCTACTTCTGTAAATTTACTTGTTTATATGAAGTAGTGCTATTCAAACAGAAGGAACTTAAGAGAGACTGTTTCCCCTTCCAAATACTGTATTTACTCAAATACAAGACAAGGGTTTTTCCCCCATTCAGTACTTTCACATACAAAGAAAAACCTAATTAAGTATACTGTCTTTCATTAAATTGCTGCCAAAAGTAGCATGTGCTCAGTAATGAAAAGCCATTATGACTAAATATATGCAAACTACACTGAGCATGACTATAAAACATATGGGCCATATTGGGCAAACATGCTGATGGGAACATACCAAAAGGACAGTTTAATGTAGCTCACGTAAGTAAGATATGTAGTAGTTCCCACTGTATTCAATTCCCCACAGAACTGACTCTTCTTTCACTCATGGTAAGCCACTACACTGCATCTATTTAAATTTCCTTTTCACTCCCACAGCTGAAATGAGCCCTTCTTTCCCATTTCACATTATTCTTGTTTTTTTTTTACTAGCCTTAAATATCTGGTAAGCATCATCAAATTGAGCTCCAAACAGTTTACCCAGAATCCCTCTGTTGCCCCTTCTCTCAATCTGTCACATATGTGGGCATGGCAAAACTCAATTTAAAAAAAAATTGAAAATCAATGTTTATTTTTAAGCATTTATTTTGATTATTAGCAATTGAAATTCTTAGGATTGTATGAAATTAGGTATGTTTTTTTCTGTTTTTATTGATTTAAATTTCAGGATTACACAAAATTAGGGATGGGAGGAGACAATTTAGTAATATAAAAAGTAAATATCCATAAATCAATGAACCATACTTTTATGCAAGCAGACAGTAGCCATCCTCATTCACAAAAAAGTATTTCCTAGAATTCAGAACAGCACCAAAGAGCTCCAAAGGAGTTCAGAACACACATACACAGCCACATCCCTCCCCCCCGCCACACACACACAAAATGGCTGCTGCAGGAACAGTCCCTGTGCTGGTAAGAATGTGTTGGGAGGGGGGGCTAAAGGGGCAGGGATGGTAGTAGCAGGAAGCCCAGAAGCTTGGTGCTGCTGGCTGCTCTCTCTGCCCAAGTACCAGCCAAGGTCTGACCGCTCCCATAAGTTCCTAGCCGAGTTACAGGACATCCATATAACCCAGGAGGTGCATAGTCTCACCAGGGGACTTGGTGGACTTGGTCCTGGCCACAGGCAATGACCTGGTGAGCGGACTGCAGGTGCTCGACTACCTCGGCGATAGCAATCATCACCAACTGGAATTCACCATCCAGCGCAGGGTGTCAAAGGCCTGGAGCAAGGCAGCAGCCCTGGACTTCAGGAGGGTGAATTTCAATGAGGTAAGGAGACTAGTCGGGGAGGCACTGAGGTTCCGGAGGGGAGGGGAGTTGGGAGTCCAAGAAGAGTGGTTGTTCCTTAAGGAGACAATCCTCCAAGCCCAAAGGGTGACAATCCCAACGTGGATCAAAGGAGGCAAGAGTGCTCAAAAGCCCCCATAGCTCACCAAAACCATCCACAAACGTCTCATGGCTAAAAAGGAGGTGTACACCCAATGGAAGGGAGGGGCCATCACCAGGGAGGATTATACCTCCTTGCCTCAAGATTGTAGGGGGGCTGTTAGGAAGGCTAAGGCAGAGATGGAACTGGGACTACTGACCCGGATCAAGGATAACAGGAAGTCCTTTTTTAAATACATAGAGGGTAAAAAGAAGCTACTGGGTAACATGGGGCCCCTGCAGGACACACTAGGAAAACCGGTGGTCACACCAGATGATAAAGCTAATTTCTTTAATAATTTCTTTTCCTCCATATTTCTGAGCAGGGACCAAGTCATCCCCCCCCACCGGGATCCCCGACCATCCCAGGGGAGGCACAGCCAGGCCCAGGGTCAGTGAGGACCTAGTCAGGGAACTTCTGGTGGGACTAGATGTGTTCAAATCAGCAGGTCCTGACAATCTCCACCCCAGAGTGCTGAAGGAATTATCAGAGGTCATTACAGGACCCTGGCACAGCTTTACAAGCACTCATGGTGCTCTGGCAAGGTGCCAGAGGACTGGAAAAGGGCCAATGTGGTCCCCATTTTCAAAAAAGGGAGGAAAGAGGACCCAGGAAACTAAAGACCAGTTAGTCTTACCTCGGTCCTGGGTAAGCTTTTGAGAGAATTATTCTGGTGTATGTCCGTGGGGGGCCAGCAGGGGAGTGTATACTTAGGGGCAAACAACACGGGTTCATTAGAGGCAGGTCCTGTCAGACCAAACTGGTGGCCTTCTATGACCAGGTCACAAAATCCCGGGCATGCTAGAAGGGAGGAATAGGCTGCAATCAGACTTAGACAGGTTACAGGGTTGGGCAGATGAGAACAGGATGGGTTTCAATACTGACAAGTGCAAGATATTGCACCCAGGGAGGAAGAACTACAGGCTGGGGAACTCTCTTTTCATCAGCACAGAGGCAGAAAAGGATCTTGGAGTCATTATTGACTCCAAGATGAATATGGGCCAACAATGTGGGGACGCATTCAGGAAGGCTAACCGCACCTTGTCATGCATCACAAGCAGGTCCAAGGAGGTGATCCTCCCCCTCTGTGCGATATTGGTCAGGCCCCAGTTGGAGTACTGCATCCAGTTCTGAGTGCCACACTTCAGGAGGGATGTGGTCAGCATTGAGAGGGTCCAAAGGAGGGCCACTTGCATGATTGGGGGCAGCAAGGCAGGCCCTATGAAGGGAGGCAATGGGACCTGAACCTGTTCAGCCTCCACAAGGGAAGGCTGAGAGGGGATCTGGTGGCCATCTACAAACTGACCAAGGGGGACCAGCAGGCAATGGCAGAGTCCCTGTTCCCCCAAGCACTACTGGGAGTACCGAGGAATAACGGCCATAAGTTGATGGAGACTAGATTCAGGCTAGACATCAGGAGGCACTACTTCATGGTCAGGGTGGCTAGGATCTGGAACCAACTTCCAAGGGAAGTGGTGCTTGCTCCTACCCTGGGGGTCTTCAAAAGGAGGCTAGATAGATACCTATCTGGGGTTGTTTGACCCCAGCATTTTTTCCTGCCCATGTCAGGGGCTCAGACTTGATGATCTGCTCAGGTCCCTTCTGACCCTACCAACTATGAAACTATGAAGGCAGGGGCCAAACTCCAGTGAAGCCTGGTCCAGCCTCCAGGGAAATTTTGCCCCTGGCCCAATCATGCAGGGGCTGCGGTAGGCTGGGCTCCATAGGAATTTGGCTCCTGTCCCAACTCAGATCTGAGCAGAGTGAGCAGCTGGTGGCAGCAGGTGCCTGGGCTACAAGCCCTGACCCTCAAATCCCTCCTCCCAGTATAGCCTTACCAATACAGCCCTGGCTCCTGCACAGGGTGCCATGTGTGGGTGTGGGAGTGTGGGTGAGCATGTGTGTGAGAGCATGTATGTGTGGGTGTATATATGTG